TCTTGAGATGTTCCTGTCCTGGAGGTGAATGTTAGCAGCACACCAGGCCACGTGTGTTCCCTGCAAAATGGCATCCATGGAGGTTTTTTTTTTCATGGAGAGAGAGACCTCATATAGAAGTCCACAGTTAGTGAACTCTGTCTGACAAGTGCTTCATGGTTTCCAAAGAGACTTCAGATTCCAATCCAGGCCTGCTTCAGCCAAGTGCAGCAATCAGGCTGTACTGATTTTTGCTACGTCCTGCAAAAAGCTGTGCAGCTACAAAGCAGGATATCTTACAACTTTTCAGCTCTAACAGAGGAATAGGGAATAAGCATCTGAGTGCTAGTCTTCAAAATTCATCTAGCATTTAAGACTGTAAAGAGCAGATATGCTCTTATTTGACCCTCCTTTCAAAGCAATAGCTGAATCTGAAGGTATTCCAACACAAGTGCATGCTTTGCATATTCCAGAAATGTTTGTAGTTTCTGCATTCTTTCAACCAACCATGAGGCAAAATCTCTGCTGCGTCTGCAGAGTAATAGAATGTTTATCTCGTAGCTCTGCTTGGTCCGTATGTTGCTTCCATTAGAGTTACATCCTAGTCTGTAACAGCGCTTGCCAATCAAGACATTCTGGTTTCAGTAGGCTCAGGCTTCTGAGATGTTTTAATTACACAGCCAACTAAAAGAGAAAGAAAAGATGAGCGCAGATCACATCCCTAATTCACCATAAGTCAACGCTCCTCATCACCACTTGGTTTGAATTGCAGCGTATTAGAAATGTATTGTGTGCAAATCCATTTTCCGATGCGCTGCATTCTGTGCGTTATCGATCCCACAGAGCAGCCATGCAGCTGAAACAGCCGAGAGTCTGCAGTCAGTAATTGTTTGTCTGACCTATTTATCCATAACCCGCCAATGACTCTTCTGCTTTTTTTCCAGTAACTTCTGCCATGCACATAATACTGTAAAGATACACAGAGTAAGACACAACAAACCACGAATTGTATGCTTTTTTATTTTTTTGTCACTAACACAAGAACTTGCATTACGACAATTCCTGTTCGCCTCTTGATTAACATGAATTTGGCAGCGGGGACGAGTTCCCTCCAGGTGAGTAAAATGGGAAATATCTACTATCACTTTACATCCACTTTAGCCCCAGGACAAGAACTCTCAGACAAGTTTACACAAGATAGCTGTGTTTTCTAGGCATTTTTAAAACTGGTAATTTTTCTTTTAGGTAAACAAACACTGCCACTTTGAATGCTTTGCTGGAGATGCTTAAAACTCTTCTTGCACTCACATCTAAACGCTTCCCAGCATCCAGGAAACATTTTTTTCACACAGGGACTTAATATTACAAGGATGTATTGCGTCTGCACACACAAATACAGACATAAATAAAGATATCTGTATAATAAAGATACAGATATAAATGTGTTGGAAGAAAAAAGTGTCGCTATCCTCATCCCATTCCTCAATATCTTTCAGAGCTTGAACTTGTGAGTCCCTCTCTCAGCACCCTGACTCCTCTGTAAAGTGACAACATTGTAGGAAGAGCAGCTGCTCTCACCTGTGTTACTTCCACAGCCGTAAAAATCTCAGAAATAATCAGCATAACTGCTTACATTTTTGGCAGCTTTTTTTTTTTTTCTTCAAGGACCGTTGGTTCTAAATGGAAAAGAGCAGGGGAATCCTTGAGCTGGTGACTGAGCACCTGGTGAAGGGGTGCTGTTGGCCTAAGGAGCTCATTGTTTGCACCTGTGCTCTCCCATGTGCCCAGAAGGGCTGCACCCAATGCAGAGCCACCCTGGGCTCATTTCAGGGGCAGCCACTGAAGGGAGAGCATCCTTGGACCTAGGCTGCTTTCTGAGGAGTGCTGTGTGGTCAGAGATCCTTTCCACCAGCTGGGTGAGTTTAGATCTTCTTTTTGTATATAACCGTTGGTCTACTTGTGAATACTCTGGTGTTGCCTGCAGCCTGTCAGCAGCTGTTTTGCACCTTTTTGAGCAGGACAAAAGGCCTGGTTGCTGCTTCTCAAACATCTTCCCTCATGTGCTTTCAGGGGCAACTCCAGGAGAAATGCTCCTACATCCCTTAAGCCTGCTTGCAATACTGAGCATACCATGAAGGCACAGGGCACCATTTTCATACCCTGTGTGTCCTCCAAGGTGCTGATGTAGAATCACAGAATGGTCAGGTTTGGAAGGGACCTCAAGGATTGCGAAGCTCCAACCCCCTGCCACACGCAGGGCCACCAACCTCCACATTCCATAGCTGCCCAGGGCTCCATCCAACCTGACCTTGAACACCTCCAGGGATGAATGGGGCATCCGCCATTCCACCATCAGCCTGTTTCACCACCTCACCATTCTCTCTCTGTGAAGAACTTTAAAAGAAAGTGGTGATGTAGGAAGACAAGGCTATGGCAATGCACAGCTGCAGTTGAGGGTTTAGGTCAATGCTCACCTCAGCCCTAGGGTCAGCAAAGCACAAAATGCTTTACCTGTATTCGTAGCTCTCAGTGGTGATGTTCCTTATTTTGGTGTTAGTGCTCTTGTTTCTCTGAAGTGCAGAATGTTACTGTGCTGTATGGCAGTACTTCTCAGGAACGTGCTGAATTCATGTAATCTTAGGGGGAATATGGTTTAAAGAAGCTTATACAAGATGCTGTGGGAACTTGGAACTATTGCAGTAAAGGCAGAGAAATAAGTGGATGCAAACCTGCAGAGAACCATAATTCACCAGTTCTGTGCTCGCAGAACACTATAGGAAGTTTCCCCTCTGATTCCAGAGCGCACCTTCCCTTATGCAGCCTGACATCACTATCCTTCACCTTTCATGCAGCAGCTTGTCAAATCAGGAGAATCCTCAGCTCACAGAGGATAAAAGGAAACATGCATGTGGTAAAACTTACATCTGTGTTTCAAAGCGCTGCTAGAAGGAGAAGATGAGACCTCTTGCAATGCTTTCAGCCACTGAGCTCTGCCTATAGCAGTCCACTTGGAGTTAAGCACATTGCAGTGTGCCTGTAGCACCACACCTACTCCAGAAGCTAAAATGGTGTTTGTTTGGGGTATGTGGGAACATAAAAGCAGAGAATAGGAGCCAGTGCTTTATCCCAGGGACTGTTGCAGCTTTCTTTGCTGGTGTGAACTCGGGAGGTAGAAGAATAAGGTGCAAAAGGAATGTTCCTTTAGACAGAAATAATGCAACAGATTAAGTACAAATATGGTATGTTATTGTTACAGTGCCCCAAAGAGCTTTTGTGGCTGCACTTTTAAGAAAAAGGCAGCTTTTCCAAGAAATCTATTGTAGAGCTGCTAAGCATTAATGTCTTGTCTGTTTTGATGCAGTTTGCTGCGGCCACCGTGGGCTGCAACGCTCCTTCAAATGCTGCTGCACAAAGCCCTCATCTGTGTGTATTCTCAGAAATAAGTGTGACAAAATGCTCACCCAACACAAGAATAGTTTGGCACTTCTGCAGTGAAATATGAAGCTAAGGCCAAATCCTGAGGTCAGGTTTTCAGGCAACGCTTTCCTGAACTCTGATGGCTGCCTGTGCAAATGAAGGCATCGCGCTTTGGCCTGTGACTTGGATGATGTGTGGAAAGCATTTTTCTCCCAGAAAAACAAAGCAATTTGAGCTGCGTAATTCTGGCAAACTGAGATGGAAGTTCTTGCACTTGCATTAATCATTTTATATATAGAATTTCTTTAAAGATAATTCAGGCCATTTTAAAAGGACGCTGCTTTAGAGTCCAGCACTGAAGCTGCTGTAGTATTTGGCACTAGGAGAAAGGAGAATTGTCTTTTAAGTTTAATAAGATGTGAAGATCTGCTTGGTACATGTTCAAAGAACAAAAAAACAACTATATATCTATGTGGCAGTAAGAAACACCATGATCTCAAAGCTGTTTTCCCTCTTGCTTCACACCTTTATGTATTGCCTGCCACACGTTGGTGTCCTTTTTTCCCTTGTCCAAAGGATTGTAGGGATGAGTCTCTCTGGATGGCTGCCCTCTTCTGGGTGGAATGGAAAGATGTTTGATTATTGCCACACTGAGAAAATGCAATGCTCTTATCTTCCAAGGACACCCTAATAATTTTTGTTGTTTCTCTGTGCAATCACGAAGGTTAAATGATGATGTATTTCCAGGTGAGGTCCCAGGTGGCTGTTTTGCAGTTCTCAGTGTAGTTAGCCAACTGCCTGTGGCTTTTCTTTATCTTCTGTATTTCTCCCCTTCTGTATTCCTTCTGTTGTTTATCAGTGCTTAAAGCACGCCGTTGTTTCCTTGCTGCAAGTGCTTAATCCTCCTTCATAAAAAAATAATGGAAAACATTTCCATATCTCTTTTCTGCTTAAGGTAAGCATGTTAAACACAGAATATTATGGCTGGAAGGGATTTTACATAATCTTTTCCTCTGCCCCAAGTCAGGATCAAATATTTCTTTGCTACTCTTGAGCTGTGTTTGGCTGAGCCCTGTTAAAGAGGGCCAATAGTGGGGATTTCTGCAGGCAACCCAGTGCACTGCTTCCCCAGTTAACTATTAGCGTTCCTTCAGGTTTGTTTATCAACAGATGACATCATTAAAGGACTCCAGAGATGGATTTCAAAAGGGCCCATTAATTACAGAGCCCGGAGTTTCTTTAATTTGAGTGCAGGGATTAAGATGCGAAGTAGAAATGCTGAAGACCAGGAGGAAAAAAAAAAAAGCCCTTAAAGAGTGTGAGCTCTTGACAGTGGAACCAGGAAGTCGGAGGCTTTTCTTGCTATTATGCATGCACAGTCATACAACCAGTGCATGCTTTCAAACTTTCACTGCACATCTGTCCATCACTGCACGGGCTAGGCACCAAGCCAGCAGCAGAATTCCTACGAGTCTGTGCAGCTCCCACACGTTTACAGCACTAGGACCCTGAGGGAGCTTGATTTCAGTGAGTCAGTGCAGCTAGCTGAGCCCTGAGAGCAGTGAATGAGGCTGGGAAGGCAGAGGGAATGTGAATGGCTCTTCTGGCTTGGGAAAGTATCCGCAGACCGGGGTGCTACAGACTACAAAACAGCCTGGACAGCCCTCCAGATTCCCATCCCCTCTAAGGTGAGTGAGCACACAACAGCAGTTTTCTCAAAGCAAGTCGTGTGGGATTGAACGAGTTGTGGAAGTTTGGGATCTTCAGCATCAGTCGATGTGGTTTTTTTTTTTTTTCTGTGCAGTGATTTTTGCACTCTCTTCAAGAGGAGTGTTTGAAATACAGAGTGCTCCTTGCTTAGAAACCCCATTTGCTCAGAAAAATGTTGGTCTAGTGAAGCTGAGGATTGTATCTGCTAATGCACGTTAAATTGTCTGCATGTTTGGAGTGTGTTCATAGAGCTTTTGTGCTTACATTCAAAGCTGGAAACAAATCTTTTGTAAGAACAGTTTAACCTTAGAGGAAGGTAAGTATTCTCCTTGTGGTTTTTATCCAGGTAAATAAAAATCTAGTTCTACTTGCACAGCACTGTAGCTACTTCTATATGGAAATTCTTTATTGCTTTAGTTCTGAATATAAGGCTTAATTATTTTTTCCTTTTCTTTTATGGCAGTTCTACTGAAGGTAACACTCTTTTTTCTTAATATAAATTAAATCAAAGTGTGAATGGCCCAAGGCAGAAGCCTTCCAGCTTAGGGACGGCTGTAGGTTACACCATCCGTATCCTCTAGGATGTCCACTTGAAAACACTTACAAACTGCCTTGACAGACTGAAACTGACAGTGCTTATTGATTTACGCTGGGTGCTAACGCTGTTCTGCCTGATGCATCAGTCAGAGGCAGAAATGGGGACCCCAGTCACAGGGACGAGAAGAATTTGTGTGCTGGGAACAAAAAGTGCTTGTGCTTCAGTTGCTTTCTTCACTTTAAATTTCCCTTATATGCTCAAGGAGTTTTAAAGAAACAGGGGAAGTGAGCGTGCTTGTCAGGCTGGTTTTTCCAAGCTGCCACAACTTCAAAGTTGCATTGTAACTATAAGACAAATCATTGATGGGTGTTTTCAAGCCTCAGTGTCACAATAAAGCCTTTTTCATACTTTCTTTTTTGCAAAGCCTAAGTAAAATGTGACAATTATCTGCAAAAAGATAGGCAGGAAGTGAACTTGCCAGTAAGTTCATTTGGTCTTTGCACTTCTGAGCTGGTTTAGATATTATGGAAACCAGGCTTTTGTGAAAGCCTGAAAGTGACCCTGACAACCATCTTGTGTTTGTCTGAAAGTCAGAAGGTTACAATACTGCAGTGTTGGGATGGAGAACCAGTAAAATAAGGAAGATTTGTCCCTGGAAGACATTAAAGTCAGGGATGAATCATTTTCTAATAGACCTCAGTAAGATCTGGAGAGGAACTCATTCTGACGAGTGTGTGCAGCACAGTGATGGTCATGTCACATCTTGACTGGTCCCAGCCCCTCACCCTGAAGGGATGCATCAGGCTGACAAAAATGATAGCAGAGGAAGTAACCGTGGCTTTATTTTTCTCTCTCTTAGCAAAGCAGTGTCCGTTTTCTCAATCAAAAGCTCAAATTATCTTTTCAGATGTCTTCATTTAAATTCAGTGGAAAATTAGCACAAAGGATCATTCTAACCCACACGCAAGTAGTTATTGTATAGAATGATAAGCTAGCATTTGGCAGCCATTATGTAGACTATTCAAACATCATATCTGAAAAATATTTAAAAGACATATAAAGGTTGGCCCTTTTCAGGGCAAAATACCCTTCTTTAGTGGGGTAAACAGAACAGGGTCAACACATTTAAAAACTGGATCATTCTATCCATAGAATAAATTACTGCTTCACGACTTTGGGCACAGGGAAATGTTCCTTCAAGTGTAAATTCCATGAATTGCTTTTCTCTACAAGATGCTTTTAGAACTAATAGAATGCTGAATGACAACAATTGGAAATCAATTGAAAGCATGGAGGAAAAAGTATTTGTAACTTTAAGGAGGTAATGTAGTTCTGCCATTTGTTTCAGTTCCTAAGAAGAAACATTGCTGTTAAATATCAAAGGTTAATAAAATTAATGCTTCATTCCAAAAGAGTTAATTTTCTAGCACCAAAAGTGGTGGTATTGGTGGGCTCAGAGTTGTGTCTTTTAGATATTAGTTCAATAAAAGCTAGTGAAACCCAGTAGCTGTCAGATGGGCTGCAGCAATGGTGACCTCTGCAGGTAACCATCCTTTCCCCAGGAGTTCAAAGGGCTGATTCAGAAACTGGTAGTGAAATACAACATCTGATATGCTGGGAGAAATGGAAGATAACATCTCTTCCAGCACAATTTGTCTCATGCTAAAAGGCACACGTAACAATGCTACTGCTTTTATTTCGTAGTAGAAAGGCAGTCCTCCTTAGTCTGAATTTGACAGGCACGCACTTATGCAAGCCAGTGTATTTAAAAGTGTTTCTGTGATTGAAAGATCTCCTGCTTTGGGATGGATGTCCTGTGGGATGCTGTGGCTGTACGAAGCCTTTCTTTTTTTTTTTACAGCTGTGCTGAATTAATTACACCAAAAAAATACGTGGCCAAGCAAAGCAAGATCCTTTCTGCTTATGCCAAGATATGGTAGTACCTATTAAAGTGATGTATGTGTGCTCTATCTGCCAGATGCCAGCTGCTTATGCATTGTAGGTGGTGGCAGGAAAAATTCAGACTTTTGATAGAAGCCTGTACTATGCTCAGGATAGGACATACAGATCCTGAATATTGCTTGTGGTTCTCATTGTTGTCCACATCTCAGAAGAAGAATGAAGTAAAACAAGAAAGCAGACTGGCTGTATTGGTGGAGAGTTGTGAAGCCAACGAAGCTGGCAGGAGTTGACTCCACCAGCCTACAAGTCAGCGTGTTTCTGAGTGCGTTAGGTCCAAACGAAGCACACCCAAGGACACCACACTGCACAACTGCTTTCATGTGCTCAGATGGATGAGAGCACTTGATTACTTACAGGCATAATGCCTGGGTGGTTATAGTCATTTGAATGGTGTTTAAATTACACCATTACTGTATAGCAGGAGGAAACACACAGAGTACTGTTCAGTATTTGGAGCTTGCATACAGCCATTAAAATGAAAATTACCATATTAGGAAGAAATTCTTTGCAGAAAGTGGTGATGCAGTGACACTGCTGCCCAGGGAGGTGGTGGGGTCACCGTCCCTGGAGGTGTTCAATAATGGTGGAGATGTGGCACTGAGGGATGTGGTTACAGCCATGGGGGGCATGTGCTGCCAGTTGGATTTGGTGATCTTAGAGGACTTTTCCAACCATGGTGTTTCCATGGTTCTATATGCACACAGACATCAGCTTGTACCTGCATACGCCCATGAGTGAGACTTCACTTAAACCCAAAATGAGAATGTTTTCATGATGTAATTGGAAATAACACGCAGGATGACTTTACTGCTAAGCTTCAGTGGTGCCACTGAACAATGAATGGAACACCTCTGACTCTTCCTTGCCTTTGAGGCAATGATCGTTTGCTAGTAAAGGCTCTTCTTAGCTCTTGCCTTTACAGCAATGCTTTGCGATTTTACAGCGTGGTGGTTCACAGTATCAGAAGATCCAAATCAATATCAGATTCCCATCCCCTACTGCTGGGAACAGTTGCATTGTATGAACTTGGCGTTCGAGTTTCATTGTACTATCCTTCCAAAGAAAATAGTTCATGGATATTTCATGCACACAGCAAAAATCCTTGGCTGGAGTTTTAGAATCCAGACCCCTGCATGCTCTCCCCTCAGTCTGACAGTAATCCCATAATGTTTTTCTGAACAAAACCCTGACTGCTCTCAGAAATCATACCTGCAGTAACCAGAAGGCTTGATGTGCTTCCTGAATTAGTTTCTTTGGGCATAAACCATCACAGTGATTCCAAAAAAACGTGTCCCGATTCTTGTTCTTTACTTCAAAATGTAATTTCCTATTTCCAAAGACAACAATGTGCTAATAAAAGATCAGAGTGTAGTCCATTGAATTGTTGCATATTGGAACTGTCAGTGCAAACAGATCCAAGCACAAAGGCAAAATATGTAAAGCAGAAGATGATTTCTTCCATGTCGTTTTTGGCCTCTGTTTACTTAACATCGACAGAAGTATCATCACTGAACGTGTTATGCAAACATGACACTTCCAGGAATAAAAATGAGTGCAATAAATGAATAACTGTCAGGATGAGCCTGCTTCCTTGTCCTAGCAGATCATTTAGTTGAGAATTCTCTCTTTTCTAAATGTGATTTTATTTGTTTAAGGATGATTGTTTAATTTTTTTTTCCTATTCTCAATCAGTTTGTATCTTTTCCCTTTGTATTGTATGGGAATAGGGACAGATCTTTTTGTGGTCTGGTTTATTGACTTGCTTTGCTTGTCTTTATTTTGTTATTGATACAAATGTATTCAATCCAGGCCATTAAAAAAAAAAAAGCATCGGAAAATTTTGTAATGGAAATTAACCAGGTACCTCATTGCTGTGCATTACTTTGATTATGACACGTTTAACAGCTCTATCTCAAAGAATATCTGTTTTTTCCATTTTGAAATACATCTTTTATTTCTGGAAGCCTTTACGGCCTGGGTGACTCAGGTATTAAACACTGCTTGTTCATAAAGGCATTTCTTTGCCCCGCGGTGAACAACACAGCCTGCACTTTCTGAAATGCATCATTTCCTGTCCATTATTTCATGATCCTTTTGAGATATTCTGTGCAGCAGCCCCAGCTCTGCAAGGTGTTTACGCTCGTGCTTTACGACAGCCGTACCAACAGCTCTGTTGAGCCATGGCAAGAAGAACTCACAGTTCTGAAGAACGCAGCTGATCAGTGCGGCTCTGCTGGAATGCCATCATTGCACTGAGCATGGAAACTACTCTATTAAGGCCTTTAGGAAGGGTCACCGGGGCCCATCTGCAGAGGGTCAGGCTGAGTTAACTGCAAACTGGTTTTTCACTGCAGCTATCAGTTTCTTTTCATTCCCCGCTGCCTTCACCCCAATGCTGTTCTTAGGAGGGCTGAACATAAAGGCAGAGAGAGAAATTATTTCTGGTTTACGTTACCTAGTGCAAAAAGCAGACTGAAA